TTTGTAATTTCAAGTATCTATAGTTTAAACGATAATTTAGGTAATTTTATATTTTAAGATTTTATTTTCCGTTATTTTTTCTTATCTTGCATAGATAACATAATTTATATTATTGTATATTTTTACTATCATTGTGAATAGTAGCCAGTAGGCAACGTAATATCGTCATGTTGAGATCACTGGATAAGTACTAACTTTCAACCATGGCTAAATATATAGGTATGATCGCAACTTTGTGATACGCAGGTGTCATGGCCGCCACTGGCAGTGATTTTTATCACTTCGATTTATCAGTTTAACCTATATATTTAGCCATGCTTTCAACAACCTGTGATAACTAATTATTTGTGGCTCGTCGTTACTCGTTATGATTTAAATTTAAAAGTTGTGAATTGTGATAATGTGATATTGTTTGTTGTAAATTTGAAATTGCAAGTGTTTGTTTATTCATAATGTTTAGTATTTTTAGTAATAGTAACAAAAAAAATACTATTCAAAGTAAGTCCGACCATTCAGACAGTGAAACGATTGATGATCCAGGTCCAAGCACGTCAAGTAGTTTGTGTGAAAATGTATGTACCAGTACCCCTCAAATTTTGAATTTAGGACTAGGAGATATAGAAAGTGGACCATACCGCCCAATTTTGGCTGTAAGTACTTAGTACTATCTTAGTTTTATTTTATATAGTTATTAATTATTATGATTGCTTCGAAAAATGTTATAACTTATAGGTACCTATTATTTTGTCTATTTATGAAACATACAATTTAAATAATTAACTTATTTTTTAGTATGCAATTAAAAACACTTATAGTTAACTGCTTAATGCTTTGCATATGCTTAAATGCTTTTAGGCTTATCCAAAAACAAAGTTTGGGAAGCAAAATAGATGTTTTAATAAACAATGGTTTGTTGAATGTGCATGGTTAGAATATAGCACTACATTAGATGCTGCTTTTTGTTATGTTTGCCGCATATTTGGTACGGGTGATGTTGAACCAGCATGGACTAAGACTGGACTTAGTAATTGGCAAAAAGTAAGTTTATATAATAAATAAATAATGATAATTATATAAATAGTAACTTAGGTATTTAAATTAATCATTAAACTTATACATTTTCAATACTATCCAGTTTGCTGATAAATTAAATAAGCACAAATTGTCCAAAATTCATTTAACAAATGTATCAAAGATGGAAGCTTTTAAATCCAGTAAAAAAACTGGAAGTGTTAAATCTCAAGTCATAAGTGCTCACAATGAAATAGTAATGAAAAATCGCAAATATATTTTAAATATTATCGAAATAGTTTTGTATCTTGCAAAACAAGGCGTTTCATTTCGTGGTCACCGTGAAGATTCTGATTCATGTAACCAAGGTACTAAATTTATACTACAATATAGTAACATATAAGTTATTAGTAATTATAACTTTATTTCAATACTTTAAAGGTAATTTTTTGGAACTTTGCAATGTTTTCTCTAAATGTGTATTGGACTTTAAAGAGTATTATGATAAAACAATTAATTTCACTAGTTGGAAAATACAAGAAAGTATTCTGAAAATTAGTGCAGATAATATAAGATTGACTATTATTAGAAAAATAACAACTACTGGATTTTTTGCAATTATGATTGATGAAGCGAGGTAGGTACATATTATAGTTAAATAAAAAAAATTTGTTTTTGTTTAATATTAGATTAATTTTTTATAGATCTCATAAGCAAGAACAACTCTCAATATGTGTTCGATTTGTTAATGGTTTAGACATAGAAGAAAGATTTTTAGAGTTTGTGGATGTTTCAGATGGGCAAGATGCAAACCACATTGTCTTGGCCCTTTTTAACTGTTTTGAAAAATTAAATTTTGACATGAAATCCTTAAAAATTGTAGCACAATCTTATGATGGAGCCAGTGTCATGTCGGGGTGCCTTAATGGAGTTCAAGCTAAAATAAAACAGTATTTTCCTTGTGCAATATACACTCACTGTATGGCCCACAGGTTAAATTTAGTAGTTCTGGATATGTGCAAAGGAATTAAGGTAGATTATGCTTTAATTAACTATTTAATATTTATATAACATTAACACATAATACTATAACTAGGTATGCTAAAAGAATATTTTTTCTTATTTTAATATATTATTGTATATTTTGTTGATTAGATTGCTCGAAATGTTTTTAATATTTTGGAGTCCCTCTATGTGCATTTTTCTCGACCAACTAACAACTCAAAATTACTTGAAATTCAGACTGAATTAGGATTAAAAAAAGGTAATGTCATAAGAGTTTGTGATACTCGATGGGTTTGTCGATATAGAAATTGCAATTCAATTATCAACAATTATTCAGCAATTTTAAATTTTTTAAAAAATGAAATTGAAGAAGAAGCTGACAAAGATGCAGTTGAAGCTATTGGTAATATAATAAATAATCAATAATCAAATTTATCGAGTACTCAATAATGTTGTAATTTATTTTTAGGTATCATTAGTCAAATAACAAAATGTCAATTTGTAACATTAGTAATTGTCTTAAGAGATGTTTTGGGGGTTATAAACATACTAAGTACAACACTACAATCTAAAACAGCCACGTTAGGGAAGGCAGAAGTCATTATAAATAGTGTAATTGAATCATTTAAAGATATGAGAAGTGATACTTCATTCTCAAAACTGTGGTTGAAAATTGTACAATTTTGTGAAATAAATGATATATCATTGGAAGTCTCTCATCCTGGTATGTTTGATTCTTTGTTATAATTTATAGTTATTGTAAACATTTAAAGCAAATCATTTTAAAAAGTATTTATATTTTTTAAAGGATCAAAACGAAAAAGAATTCAGCCAAATAATTTGAGAAATTTCATTTTGGAAACAACTACAGGCAATAATTATGAAGAACAAGAAGTGTCAGAATCAGTCGAAGCCTATTGGAGGCGCACTATTTATTTTCCAGTTATTGATACTATTATTAATAATTTAAAGTTTAGGTTTTCAAACGAAAATCTTCAGATGGCCAAAGCTATTGATAGTTTTATGAATATGGATTATGAAAATAGTCAACATTTTATTCATCATTATAAGGTACATATTCAATTAGTTATTAAGTTATTATAGAAAAATTCTATAATATTCAATAATATTCTATGATTTCAGGATATAATTAATTCAAATACAGAGTGTTTAAAAGCAGAAATGCTTGTAGCGAGAAATTGTTTAAAAAATAGTACAGATGACATAAAAAAAATACTAAATAATGATGTGTTTCCAAACTTGTACAAACTAATGCAGGTTGCATTAACCGTACCTGTCAGTTCTGCGACATGTGAACGAAGTTTTTCTTCTATGAGGAGATTGAAAAATTGGCTGCGGAGCAGCATGTTACAGCAGCGCTTTACTAATTTAAGTATCATAAATATTGAGAGAGATCTAGCTAATGATATTGAACCTGAAAAAATATTAAATACATTTGCAAGTATTGACAGAAAACTATGTTTGACACTTTAAAATATAATAATATGATAAAAAAAATAAAATGTGTTAAATTTATTTTCTATTAACGGTACCTATGGTTGCAAACAGTAGTATAATGTAAATAATAGTAATATATTATGCTGGGGGTGTGGGGGGCGAAGCCCCCCACGGCTCTGTGAACGATTCATTATGGTAGCACCCCCAAGATATGAACCCTAGTTGCGCCACTGACTGTATTGATTGATATTTGATTTAATGTTTAGTGATTGTTCATGCAACCCGGCATAAAATATGTAAGATAGTGATTGTAAATATTGCTTAATATTGTAATAAATGTATGACTAAAATTACCATAATTTTGATTTAAAACGTACTTTACAGTTAACATTGTAATCAATTCAAAATTATCGAGTTCAATATGTTTCAAAAAAATTAAGAGATTCACCAAAAATTTAAAAAATATCTGTACACAGCAATCGGTGGCGGCATCTGTTCAGAAATTGGGGAACTATAGAATTTCCGTACATTTCGGCATCAAATATCAATATTATTGTTGTGGCCGGAAACTAGAGATTAGAAAGCGGCATCGCGTTATCTTTCTACATCACGGGTGCAATATTATAAGTTACATATTATTATTACTATTATTATTACCAATAATGTAGTTATAAACTTTTGTGATATTACGTAAAATTATGTAAACATGTATACATATATGCGTATATTATTATTACTATTATTAATATTGATTATTAATAGACGGCACGATGTAGAAATAGAAAAGATATCTCGATAGGCAGTTGAACGATTTATTAAAACAAAAGGTATATATGTATTTAAATCGTACGTATGAGAATGTATAGACAACAGTAGTTACAGTATTATGACTTGAATGTGATTTAATTTAATGTTATTATTTACTTTTTCATGCTGTATTATTGATGATTACGTGTTCGATTTAATATATTAATATGCTTAATTCATATTGCATATTATTTGCATATCATATCATTGTGTTGCATCTCGCGAACGGTTGCAAAAATGCGAAATGAAAATTACCCATTCGGGCCGTTCGCGATTGTAAAAAAAAATCATAATATTGATTTTGTGTATGCCGTAGTTAAGTTTATTCGGCGAATGCAAGACGAATGACATCCAATGAAATGTCGGACAAGAAATAATTATTATGTACGAGTGATGTAGTTAGATTTATCCACATTGCACATATCCATATGCGGCTGTCATACGTTTTTGAATTATTAGTTTTTGAGTTCTCGACCATAATGAATCCAATTTTTACAAACCGTTATCAATTTGTGTGTACGATGAATTATCGTGAAAAAAAATTAGGTACGCTGTTTAAATTGTAGTAGATTAGTATAATACACAAAACTGTGTTACAAATTGTTTACCTAACGTGTTCAAAAACGATTTGTTTACTCTAGGTATAGGCATTGGGAGCATACTACTACTACCCATACAAAGTTATAAACTAAATTACTAAACTGGCTCGTTGAAAGCCAATGACAATGGATGATGTCGGTGACATCGAAGACTTGATTTCTTCTGTTGCCGATGTTGCTGAGATTGGTAGAGTCAAACCTAGGAACATTGTATCTCTGCGTCCCAAAGTTAAAGTCAAACCAAGAAGACAAACTGATCATCCACCATCCCAAATCCCTGGCACCCAAACAATATTTATTAAGACTTGGGGATGTTCACACAACAGCTCAGATGGGGAGTATATGGCAGGTCTTCTATCAAACTATGGATATAAAATAACCGGTAAGAATAAAGGTCATTGATAATAATTTTTTGGCATTAAAAATATCTGTTTTTAGAGGACAAAACCATTGCAGATCTGTGGATACTAAATAGCTGTACTGTGAAAAATCCAGCTGAAGATCATTTTAGAAATGAAATTTCTACTGGAAAAAAATCTGGGAAATTTGTGGTAGTGGCTGGTTGTGTACCTCAGGGGGATCAAAAGTCTTCTTTTATTCAAAATTTAAGTGTTATTGGCGTTCAGCAAATAGACAGGGTAGTAGAAGTAGTAGAAGAAACATTAAAAGGTTTGTTCAACAACATTTCTTTTGCATGAAACAATATTTTTACTTACTTTCAATAGGACATACTATTCGTTTGTTGGGTCAAAAAAAGATAAATGGAAAAAAAGATGGTGGTGCCAGATTACAGTTACCAAAAATGCGGAAAAATAAACTAATTGAAATTATTGCTATTAGCACCGGATGTTTGAATCAGTGTACCTATTGTAAAACAAAACATGCAAGGGGCAACCTTGGTAGTTATCCTCCAGGTAAATTAGTAAAATAGTAATATTCACTGTTGAAGTGAAGTTGTTAGTTATTATAACAATAGCAATATAATTTTTTTTTTTAGATGAAATTGTACAAAGAGCCATAGAATCATTTAATGAAGGTGCTGTGGAATTGTGGCTAACAAGTGAAGATACTGGTGCATACGGGTTGGACATACAAACAAATTTACCAGAACTTCTTTGGCGTTTAGTGGCTATCATACCTGAAGGTTGTATGATGCGTATTGGTATGACTAATCCACCGTACATACTCAATCATCTAGAGGTTCAGTAAAATCATACTTGATGTAAGGAAATGGCTATTTAATCATTTTTTTAAATAGGAAATAGCCAAGATTTTATCCCACCCTAGGGTGTATGCATTTTTGCATGTGCCTGTACAATCTGGAAGTAATCAAGTATTAGCAGACATGAAACGTGAATACTCAATCGAAGAATTTGAAACTGTTGTTACTTTTTTGAGACAGAGGTAAATTAAAATTGTAGAAATCATTTAAATTGTATAATTTATGTTTAATTTATTTTACCAGAGTACCTGGTGTTTCTATTGCAACAGATATTATTTGTGGCTTCCCAACTGAAACAGAAGAAGATTTTTCTGAAACAATGAGTGTTTGTGAAAAATATAGATTTCCAAGTTTATTTATTAATCAATTTTACCCACGTAAAGGAACACCAGCTGCAAGGATGCCCAAAATTCCCACAGACATGGTAATCAATAACAATAATTTGTTTAGTTATGAAATTACAACCAAATTTTATTTATAGGTTAAAATTCGGACTAAACGTCTGACTGAATTATTTCATTCTTACACCACGTATGACCATAGAATCGGTGAAGTACAGGAGATTTTGATAACTGAAGAAGCTAAAAATGGTATTGAGTTGATTGGACACAATAAATATTATGAACAAGTTAGTTACAAAAATAAATCATTTAAAATCCTAAATGTGGAATATTTTTAACTCCCTAGTATATTATATACTAGTTATATTTTACAGAATAATTAAGAGGACGCTACATCCACATGTGGTGACTCCGTCTTACAAATGTACAACATAGCAAAAACTGTTTTGTGCGGGTAAGAACCGAGAATGCTACAGTCATAACTAAGAAACAAGATTTTCACCACAAAAAAAGGAGAACTTTGGCTGTGCAACATTGTTTTTATTTTTTTGATATCACTTTTATGAAAAAAGTTCTTACTGTTTCAAAAACCATTATTGTTTGTATTTTTAAAACTAGAAATTTTTTTTTCATCTAAATGATATCAAAAAAATAAAAACAACGTTTCACAGCCAAAGTTCTCCTTTTTATGTGGTGAAAATCTCGTTCCTTAGTTATGACTGTAGCAAAACAATTTTTGCTATGTTGTACATTTGTAAGACGGAAACAACACATGCAGGTGTAGCATCTTCTTAATGGCACAACTATATGTTGGTTTTTTAGCAGATTGTATCTTATTTCTTTAAGGCGCCCGGTGCCAATGTAATTTTGTACACAAAAATATGCTCCAAGGGAAATAACGATCCTGTTTTGTAGAATCAACCAATTATAATTTTTTTTTTTAATTAATAGAGGGTAATATTCTACAGGTCGCATCAAACTCCGTTGTTCAATATTTTAATCTCAAACTTTATAATGTGTCAACAATAACATAATTTTAAGCGTTTTTTTTATAAATTATATTATACCATTATTTGAAATAAAATAAAATATTGGAGTTCAATGTGGCCTGTTGCTTCTTTCAGATAAAAAATAGTTATCAAAATCTGACAATTCTACAAGGCCTGATAATTATTCCAGTGAAGTAATTTTTCAAGATAAAATACATCCTGTCGACCCCCTAAATAGGTATCGGGTAATAGATTAGTGAAAAAGTATCATGTTAAGGTGGCAACTAAAATATAAAATTTAATTTTCAAATTTTATAAAAATTGCGAAGAATTTAAAAAACTGGCACCATACCCCTTAACTATAACTTCCTAGTATAAATTGAGGATAAACCTTAAATTGTCAGTTGTTTTTTTTTAGGTTTTGGTGGCAAAAGAACCAGAATTAATGGGCAAGTGTATTAAAGTAATTGTGAAGTCTGCAAAAAAACATTGTCTAATAGCTGAAATGGTGGACAAACCAAGAATTTTTAAGCATAACCTTCAAAAAATTAACGATATGTACTCGATATGGCCTGTATTTGCTTTATTAGTTTGCGTTTTAGCAAGAATACTTTGGTTATTGGTGTAACATAAAATTATGTAGTGTATATAAAAAAAAGCTTTAACACATTTTCATGACCTCCATGTAACTTCAACTTCGTCTGTCCTAAACCTAAGAAAAATTATTTATTATTATACTAAGACTATTTTAGCAATTAATAATTTATTTTATTTATTTAATATTTTAATAATTAAATGATACCTCTGTGTACAAAATGTATTTTCCCATGTAGTCTTATATCCACTATTATGCATTAATGCTCCAGTATGAGCAATCATTACTCCATTGTCTATACAAAATCTATTATAAACAAACATTTAAAAACATATATAATCAATGTTTATTTTTAGATTCTAAAGGAAGCAAAAAATGCATTGGTAAATGGTTTAATGTTTTATAATTACACAAGTTGATCCATTTAAGTGTAACATTCATTATTTCAAATGGTTTAAATTGTTATGAAAATAATTATTTTAATAATTTTTTATCTTAATCATTTGTTATTTTTTTAATTTCAAATTCCGATATTATAATATTTTTTCAGAGAATTTCGATAGATAACATTGAATTTTGAACAATTAGTTAATTAGTTTTAACTTATAAATATTTTAAGTTTAGATGAGTGGAGTAGAGTCGCACAAGGATACCCCGCAAAATATTGATCCATTACTTTGCTTATCTAAACTTAAATGCTCATTGTTATGACTGGGGTGAATGGAATACATTAAATAGCCTTGAAAGATTCACTTAAAATCCTGAATAATGCGGTATTAATTATTGGAAATTATTAAAAATATTTAAATTAAGGTAATTTAAGAGTGACATAAAACAGCCAAAAAATGACCTAAAACAAATACCTAATGTTGTCCTTCAAAGCAAAAATTATAAAAAATATAATTATTAATTAAAAATGTTGTTTAGTGTTGACATCATATTATGTAAGAAAGTTAAAAGTTCAAAATAATGCGTAAGCACTAATTTATGATCTTATAAACATTAAACAATATGTTTATATTTTTTATCGTGGTTATTCAGAAGTTTCATGTAGTTACAAGATTCAATAAAAAATGTTTAAATTTTACACAAATGGTACTTTAGAGTTTAGACTAGCGATCTTAGTTAAATCAAAAATTTATCAAAAATTAAAATTTACTTATTCAAATCCATGTGTACACAGGAAATAAATTCATAAATAAGTAGATGCATATTAAAAGAAAATTATACACTCAATATTAATACAATTATAGTTACATACGTCTACTATTAATTTACTAATTTTCTAGGTGATAGTGTGGCCAATGGTATTATATACTTGTGTATTTCAACTACACAGACCTTAAAAATGCATATAATAAATACCCTTAATTTGGACATTCAAATTTTCAAAATATTCATGAGTTTTAGAAAAATAAATATGATAACAGAAAAATCCGGAACACACTAATATTGATTAATCTATTAGTTTTGGTTATTTTATTACAATTATTCAAAGTGATAAATCTAGTCATCTGAAATGTTCAACAATAATTATTTATTGCAGTTTTACTGAACATAGTATTTTTCTAAATTATTACAATATTATAGAAAAATTAAGAAAATGTATTATTTAAAAAAAATTTTGATTTTCATACAAAATCATTCATGTTAGTTGTTAATTTAACGATAAAAAATTAGATGGCCTGCAACCTTGCAGTTTAAAAGGTTTTTCTTAATATTTTAATTTAAAAGCAAGTTATAACAGTATTTAATATTTAACATACTCATTACTCGCTTAAAAACTAAAATATCCTAAAAAAAAACCAACAAGAGAACACAAATGAGGTCCTACCTTTAAGTTAAGAAATTTTAAAAATTTAAATGAATTTAAAATGTTGGTCAATTTACTCTAATATTAAAGATAACAACCCTAAATTAGAACTACTAAACGCAAATTCAATATGCTGTCCATTCTTAAGATAAAGACAATAGACAATCATACAATTATTTATTTCATGCATTATATCACATGATCTCAATAATTAATTTGATTACAAATTAGCTGTATAATTTTATGTTATGAAACATGAAAATTTAAATAATATATGAATTAAACTACCTATCTATACTGAAATATTATATAAAAATGTTCAATAACCTTGAAAAATAACGTTAGGAGCAATTAAAAGTACAATTTTTTATATATAAATATTAAAAATTAATTGTTTACTGTGTCATAATTAATTATTTATTATCTAACCTTTCATCAGTAGCATATAATGTTGCATTCCTTTCTTCACACATAATTTTCATCATATCTTGTAACCTTTCATTACAACCAACACCTCCTACTATTAGTACTTCTTTTGACTGACAGTGAGACATTGCTCTTTCTGAAAATAAATATAAAAATTAAATGTTGAAATGTAACTTACTGTATCTTTTATTCTATAGTTAAAAAGATATTTTTTACTCTTCAAAATAATGAAGCAATTAAAAGTTTGATTATATATTTTGATAGACATTTTTTAGAGAAAACTTTATTGTTCGATTCTATTAAATTATACTATTACAAAAAAAAATCTTTTTATTTTCAATTAACACTAACATTGAAACAAGTGTAAAATTATATAAATAGGGTGGCTGCAAACAGAAAATAATTTTTAAGGAGTATTTTCTATTGAGTTTAAGGCTTTGACGACTGAGGTCATTAGCCTGTAAGGTTGGTACAGTAGGGTTGAGACGGTTGGTAAGGTCGGTTAGGAACACGTGTATGTGTGGCAAGGTTTTTGTACACTATGAACCCGGGCGATCACCTAGCCGAGAACAAGTGGCAGCGCCCGTTGCTTACTCTCAATGAAGTCGCGTGATTGATTTTAGCCACAAGAAGTATATAAATAGGCAATTATTAATAATTTCTGAACACAAACAGAGAATGTAGGAGAAAACATGAAAAGTAGATTATCAAAAAATCGAAAAAGTAAATAGTGTGATAGTTATGATTTTTGATTGACAGCTTCTTTGAATAATAGTTTTCTTATTTAATTAAGTGTAACATTAGCTAGTAGAAACAGCTTTACGCTATTTAGTATAATCTTAAATTTTAAATTCCTGATAACTCACAAAACGTATGTGCTGTGTTACTTACATATCTCATTTATGTTGCATACTTAGCTATGTTTAAATCTAAATCAGTGTTAACAAAATGATATTGTGATGTATTAAATTCAATTATTTTTAAAATATAGAATAAACAGTGGTATGTCCAATTTTATTAAAATCATATATTATTTTAAAAAATTAATACTACTTATACCTATGATTTTTAACTATTGATTTCATATACATTTTTGTCAGCAATATACTGCTTGTACAATAGTGACGGGCCTGACTGTCCTAATTGTGTATTACATATTGTATACATTAATGTTTTTCATAAATATTTTCAATTTTTGTAGTAAAGCAGTACATGCATGTCTAATATGGATTATTTGGTACATTTGGATATTTTAAATTGATTTAAAATTAATTTTTAACAATATTTGATTTCATAACCATACAGTTTGTGGGATTTTAGATCTGTACTATATTGAATAGAGAAGAATATAAAAACACTGCCAAAATGGAGCCAAAGCTATCACAATTATATCAATAGCAAATTTCAAGTGTGAAATTAAAAATTAAAAAAGAAATATTAACCGCATGCATTGTATCCGTCTTACAAATGTTATGGCATATTGTATGTTCTAAATAATCTATTTAAATGATTGATACTGGTGTGAATAGACCTACTATAAAATTTAAAAGTAAAAATATTATGTAGTAAATCTGAAAGATTCTTTTTAAATTATATTTTTAAAATGAGAAGATATGAGCAAGCATATCAAAATTGAAATTTTCTGTAGATTAGAAAATATTCATAATTTGTTTTAAAATTTAAATATAAAAAATCCTTTGCCAATATTCTTATTTTTAAAACTGATATTAGGTCTTTTTAAACTAATATTAAACATAATAGAGTTAAATGGATTATTCGTACAATTTTCTATGTTATGTGTTAGGAAGATGAAAAAACAGTATTGTGTAGAGGGTAGTAACAAATTATCATTGTTCAAACAAATTACTTAAGATAATAATATTTGTATTTACCTGTTGTTTCTATTAGCATTGCAAAAATAGTTTCTTGAAGGGAAAAACACAAGTCTTCAGGAGTATATTCACCAGATGATAGCAATGATGGTGCCTTTTCTTCTATATAGGATAGTATACCAGAGAACGATACATCCATACCTTTTACTACATACGGTAATTTAAGATATTTTTTACCACTAAAAACATAAATAATACATTATTTAATACACATTTTTAATTTTTAATGTAACTCATGTTATTACTTTTTAGCCATTTGTTCAATATTGTAACCAGGACTAGGATCATTGGATAATTTTAAAACTCTTGCAAATCGATCTAAGCAATTTCCAACAGCAATATCTATTGTTTCGCCAAATATTCTGTAATATTTCCCAGAATAAGCTATGACTTGAGTATTTCCTCCACTAACATATAAAACAGTAGGATTCTCACTACCGGTTATTAAACGACCCATTTCTATATCTGTTCAAGATTATTAAGGTTGGATTTAAATAATAAGTAATAAATCAAACGTTCAATGCCATAAAAGGATACGTGCAATACAATGGTTAACAGGTATTAAAGGTTTGTTCCAAAGTTGAGCGAGAGTGCGTGCCACAGCTGCAACACAAACTAAGCAACTACCAATTCCGGGACCCTTAGTAAAACATACAACATCAATCTGTTCCAATTGTATGCCAGATGTTTTGATTGTTTCTTGTAATAACTCTATAATGTTATTTTGGTGATGTTTTGCAGTTTCTCGGGGTAAAAATCCTAAAATCAATAGAATGTATGTAGGTTTTTTTGCAAATATAAGTAGCAATTAAAAAGGAAGAAAAATAAATACCTTCACCTGGCGGTGTTATGTATGTTCTTCTGCAATTTGCTAGCACCTCACCATCTTTAACGATTCCAATAGCTAGTTTATTTGCACTACCTTCGAATCCTATGCTAATAACCATTGTTTAGGAAAAAACTTCAGGTAAGTTCACTATTCTCTGTGTTTGTCACTTGGTCATGATGGTGGTGTTCCACTTATTCCAGTAAATTTTTAGATTTTTTTTAGTGTTCCAAGTTTATGATGGAGCCAAATTACTTATCAGTTATCACTTTTAATTCCGGTCTCTCACGAAGCCACGAGGTATTAATCACTATTCTGTATTTCCGTGGTGGTATCACGACCAGAGATAATACCATCTTTAATCCATTAAAATCCATCTTTATTCTTTAACCGTGTGTGGTTTTTTGGAATAATTTAAAATAGCGAATTCGTAAATCTGATTATAAGAACAACTTTGAAGGTATTATGGTATTATTATGGTAAAAACATTTATTCAAGTCAAACACCTAGTTTTTTTTTTTAGAATTTTTTAAAATATCAATATTTTTTAGAACGTACCTAATAACTTTTTACAAAATATATTTGTTGAGAATTTCCTCACATTAGTTAATTTCTTAAATTATTCAATAAAACATTAGAAATCTGACATAATATTATGCTGTTTGTTTTTCGAGAGGGAAAAACGGTCGCTCGACCTTTCGCTAGTAGGTATTCCTTATACCTACAACCTACTTAACATCTTATATTACTTATATTCAAAAATACAATTAATTTCAATACTGTCAATATTGAAATTTAAATCAAAACTGCATATTTTTTGTAGAACTGCGCATTAATGGAAGTACTAACTACTAAATAATAAGTACAAAGTAGGTACCTACTGAATACAACCTTACGTCTTACAAGACTACTGTATTTTATTATAGTTCAGTCGTTCAGTGAGTTGTAGGCTCATTTTTAATCTCTTTTCTATAGTTATAGCCTATAGGAATGTAAGATTCGTGGATTCTACTTTCTGTCTCACTGGTATCAATACGGTATCATAGTAAAATGAATCACAAAAAGAGTTTATTTGAAATTAAGAGTGAATGTTTGAACCCATAATATTATGAGAGTACCTATATTATGGAACATTTAAAGGTATAATTACAGTGTTGGGGAAGTTACTTATTTTTGGTAATTACATTACATTACTAATTACTTATCAAAATTGTAACTAAATTATTTTTAAGTTACTTTTTTTTAATTTGGTTAAGTTACATTACTTTTGAGTTTAAAAAGTAACTGAATTACAATAGCAGTTACTTTTTTTCAAAAATATCACTGGAGATTAATAATCATGTTGTCAATATAACAATACATTAACTAAATAGGTAATGACAATCAAACATATGAAATTATTAACAGATACTTATTTTGCAACATTATTATTATTTTTTTTTTTATTGAACTTAAGCCCGGCTACTATGGCCATTAGCTGTTATTGTAGGTGATTATGAAGTGTGGTTGGTAAGGTTGGTATGGTAAGGTGTTGTTATGGTTGTTACTTGTTACAGTATGTATGCAAACACGTGTAAGTGTGGCAAGGTTTTTACTACTACGAATCCGGGTGGGCACCCATCCGGGAACTAGTAGCAGCGGGCGTAACTTACTATCAGTCGTATTGCGCCACACATTTATTTATTAATTAATTTTTTTTTTTTATTAATTAACTAGCAGGAACTTAGGCAATTGGGTGGTTTTTAACTGTGGGGGAGGATACTGTAGGTTTTTATAAACACGTGCGTTTTAGCTTAGCAGAATTTCAAATTGGGCATCCGTAAGTTTCTGCCATGCCCGGCGGAGGATGGCGGCCTCTCTCTCCAGACCGATGTCTGCCGGAGAGAAGTTCAGCCCGTGACCGAAATTCGAACCGGCGACGGTGTGCGTTAAAACTAACGTCATAGTCCGCTCGGCCACTCCGTCGCCGTCGCCCACACTTTTATTATTATTACTATTTATTGATAGTTATAACAATGCTGTATGCTCAGACGCTGAAGCCGTGAGCCGTCCGCGACGATACAACACAGAGTAAAGATAGTAAAGATAATTCCATTCTAAAAATAACACTTTATAGTCGAATAGTCAATAGCTATAACAAAAATATTACAGTTTAGACAATTTTACCTATAAATTAAAATACTTATAAGCTATATTATGATATATTTCAATATGTACCTACACACAATAGTATAAATAGGTACATTCTAAAAAAAATTAATAATCCGAAAAAAAAGTAACGAGTAATTTAGTAAAATTTACTACAAAAAAGTAACTTATATCACATATAAATTACATACAATAAAATGTAATTAAATTACCATCAAATTACTTAAAAAGTAATTTCGTTACAGTAACTTGTAAAGTTGTAACTTAAGTTAAGTTACTCCCCAACACTGGACTATAAACATAGTATAAACACGCCATGACATATATTATGTGGCCTATTACTGTCTCCATGCGTTTAGTGAGGTACCTACCGAAAAAATAACCCCGGAAATTAAGACCCCCAAAAAAATAACCCCATATGAGATTTTGCAAAATTAATTTAAATATTGGTATTATGTATTATGTCATATTACGTAAATTACAAAATGTATGACATACCTATTACCTACGTGCAATTGTTATGTTCCCACAAATAACGTTAATTTTAGATTCAATGATAAATTATTGTATACCTACGATGAAAACGATTCAGAACACGGTGCCAGTCTGTCCGTCATATTTCGATCAGATATAATATAATAACTATAGGTACAGCGACAATGCGTGGTTATTTATTACGAAAATTATAATAGATAAGAAATTTACCAATGACTTTTTTGCCATTAACTAGATTAAAAGAAAGTGTTGATTATTTAATTATTTTGATGAAACGTACGTGAGTGAAACGCTACGTCGAGTTAATGAACAAAATGTTTCAAGTTTAACCATTCCGACCGTAATTAAAAAATATCAATTTGTTTTAGGTGTAAAAATATTGTGAAATGTAAAAACCTAAATTATAGGTACTACTAAACCGGGATGTTTGGACCCAATCATTTACATGGTTCATAATGTTCATTATCCCGGTGCCAGATAATGCAGAATAATTTATTTTAGACCAGTCTAGTTTTGTGAATTTGTGGACTGGGGCACCGAAGGCAGAATAAAATACAAATAAAATTGTATTGATGTTTATAGAAAAAAAACTAAAAACATTGGAAACTGAAAATGTCCGTAAACGGCTCCAAATATTTAAAAGAATTATAAGAACAAAAACACCAATTTTCAATTTATGTATTGTAGAAGAGAAGTATAAAAGGGGGGTTCTGAATTATAGATGGGCCTATGCACAGCGTTGTTCGTCGGTAGTACACTAATACCGAGAGTCTAGTTGGGTTTCGTTAGGTTTCGTTAGGTTTCGTTAGGTTTCGTTAGGTTTAGTTGGGTTTCGTTAGGTTTAGTGAGGTTTAATCTAACCTCACGCTGCTAACGGCATTGCCGCATTGGCAAATATTATTATTTAGATTTAAATAAGTCCGAGAACGGCAGCGCCATCTACCGCCGCCGAATAATTTTTAACACTCTAGTCGTGCTTGAAGAACTGACCCTCGCAGCTGCTTAATTTCTTAGTTAGATAGCGTTGACTGGTTTTTACATGGTTCATTATCCCGGTGCCAGATAATGTAGAATAATTTATTTTAGACCGGTCTAGTTTAGTGAATTTGTGGACTGGGGCACCGAAGAGATAATGCATTAGAATCTCTATATAAACTTGTAGACTAGTATGTATGGTTAGATTTGGCAAGCGAACAGAATATTACCAGAATAATAACAATGCAGATCTCAGAGATTTCTTTAAAAGAACAAACGATTTATCAATAGGCCGTATAGGTACTGACTACTGAGTATATAAGTTCTATGGATTTATCGTAATACGTAATATCATCTATGGCAATTGGCAATCGCCAATTGTCGTTATTGGTCGGAGTGATTCTAATAATTTCAGAGAACAAAAAAATATAAAAAATAATCTAACAACAGTCAGACAGTTCGTTAAGCAGTATGTTATGTTATAATGTAAGTTATAACACGAAGTTGCACATTTCATAAAATATTTCAATACTTTCAAGTTTCAGTTCGGAGCGAGATGCAAACTGACGAAGATAGCCGTTTCTTCGGCGGCGTCACGTACTGCATGTCTGCATTCTAGACATTTAATATCTTTTCTATGATTCCAGTCCCTAAAATTGTGTAGTACGAAAAGTGCATTGTGTAGTACGAAGTTTAAAAGTGTGTTATTCTAATTAAGCCTTTATAATAATATTACGTATAATTTTATATCTACATTTTTTTTTGCATTTTAATGGTTTTTTGTCAAACCACATTTTAATTATTAACACAGACACACAGTAAACAATATTTTGTGTTGTTACGTCTTATACTCTTATTATAATTATTATTATTCATTGCTACTGAGAGCACTATTTTTATTATTATCAGCTTAGAAGTGAACGGTGGAATATAGTATACTATAGTAGTATAGTGTTTATATAGAAATAAATTAGATTTGACCGATTTGGGACTATGTGTGTAGTACGAAAATTTGGATATTTTAGGGACTGTATGATTCTAGATTTGGCATAGGACATAGGTTAGGTACGCCGCGCCGGAAGACTTGATGTGTAAGCGTAAGTTTGTTTTCATATCATTTTGGGGCTTACATTTACTTTTTAGACTTAAATTAAATATTTATTGTCAAGGAAAATCTGTTAACTGGGTGACGTAGAAGCATAATATTATACAATTACTCCGAAAATCGCAATATACAAAAATAAATATACGAGCCCAAACGGTCCTACCACGGCAATACGTCAAGCTTAGTACGTACCTACCTTTTTTGCATATACCCATAGGTGAAAATTGGGGGAGGGGGTTAGTCCCCCCAAAAATCTAGGACATACAATTTTAAGATGCTATATTGCAAATGCGTGTAAATGTATGTACAGTTTGTAATTTTTTTTATATTTACATAATATTATATATTATGAGACGGCCATGTTAGGTAATTATAAAATATAAATTATCACTGATATT